TCTAAAACTCCTCCGAATGGAAGGGGTCGAGCTGTAAATTGCAGCGTGTAACCCCTGCTTATCAGCTTGGCCATCCATCTGTCTGGCGAGCATGTTCACAGCCACTCTGCGTGACGTTCATGGAGTGGGCGTGCGTTTAGGTGGTGTGTCATGTTTCTTACGGACGTCAGCCAGTCTACCGCCTCGACCGCCGTCATGCGCCGCGGAAGTGTGTTCCGTGTGACCCAAGGTGAGGCTTCCTCAAAAGGGCTCTGAGCGCGCCTCTATGCCATGCTAAGGCTGCGTGTTCACATTCCTGTCGATGTGGACTGGCGTGTGTTGAGGAGATGCGTGTGCACCCTCATCCACGTGGCGCTGTTTGAGTGAAATCTGCTGGCGCCGCGGGAGCACGCGTTTGTCACCACTGCGGTGAGATGTGTGCCGCTCCTGCTGAGAGTGAGGTGTCTCACTGGACTCGTTCTGTGGGTTCACATTCATGTCGATGTGGACCGGCGTGTGTTGAGGAGATGCGTGTGCACCCTCATCCACGCGACGCTGTTTGAGTGAAATCTGCCGGCGCCGCAGGAGCACGCATTTGACACCGCTGCGGTGAGACGCGTGCTGCTCCTGCTGAGAGCGAGGTGTCTCACTGGACTCGTTCTGCCGTCTCACATTCATGCTGATGCGAGCCGGCGAGCGCTGGGAAGTGGTGTGCGCGCCTTCATCAACATCGCGCCATTTGAGTGAGGGCTGCAGGCGCCGCGGGAGCACGCGTTTGCTTAGGTGAGACGCGTGCCGCTCCTGCTGAGAGCAAGGTTTCTCACTAGACTCGTTCTGCGGTCTCACATTTATGCTGATGAGAGCCGGCGAGCGCTGGGTAGTGGTGTGCGCGCCTTCACCAACGCAGCGCCGTTGAGTGAAGGCTGCTGGCGTCGCGGGAGCGCACGTTTGACACCGCTGCAGTGAGACGTGTGCAGCTCAGGCTGAAAACGAGTTATTCTGCTGGACTTGTTCTGCGGACCACATTCGCTTTCGACTGTTGTGTCATGCGAGCGTCTCGTGTTTTTTTTGGAGCAGCGAAGATTCTGAAAAACCTTTTATTTAAGGCCACCGGCTCGTTTTGTGTGGAGGATGTGTGAAGGAGCCGCTGTGAGGTCATCCGAGCTGACAGACTGGCTAAAATCAGACACTTTAATCATTGAATGATGTTTTATTTCAACAACTCGTGTCATCATTACACACATCCTCCACAAACCATCATTTTGAATCTTCTCCCCCGTGAGCTCTGCGGTTTGTTGTCCCAGGGCGCCGCCTGTTGGCGATCTCAGGGAAAACGCTGAATCTCTGGTTGCCGGGATGAAAAGGGCTGGTGTCTGACGGGCGGGGCTGGCGTAGCAGAGCAGGGAGACGCTGCTGCAGCCTTGGAACGCGTTGTTGTTGTCTTGAAATTGGTCCGAAACAGCGCGTCCGTCGCTGATGGGGCCCTCCAACAAAAGCCTTCTGCAGCTCCTCCGAGAGGGAGGTGGAATGACAAGCCAGGTGGACCTCTGGAAAACCTCGTCCTCCGGGCTGCGATGCAAGACTGGCAGACAGCAGAAGAGGCACATAGGTTGAGGATAACGTCAGCTGCCTTGCAGAGGGAGCTCTACGTCTCCTCCAGCCTCTTGAAACGCTGTACGCCAGCAGCGTAACGTATTGTTTGCTGCGGCACCTGGAACGCACACTGGTGAGCTCAGTTGGAGAGCGACGTCACCGTCTGGTCATGCTTATTCGGAGGCGCAGGACGCTGGTCCAACCTGGACATCTTGCTCCGAAAGCTTCCGCCAGGCTCGGCTCCAAGGGGGCACCGAGGGAATTTCCGCTCGGTGAAACCACTCTACTCTGGTGATGGGCGCGAATGTGGGAATCGACGCCCTCAGTCTACCAGAACCGGCTGCGGCCTCGTTCCAGTAGGACGTTACTGCTGGGAAAACGAGGCCAGATGGGATCAGGACGGCGAGCTGGGGTGGAGCCCAGAAAACCTTCCCGCTAGATCATCCGATATGGACGGGGAAAGGAGAGGGATGGAAAAAGTCCCTTCATGTTAGCCGCCTCCTGGATTATGCCGGGCAGCTCCAGAGGAGGGCACCGACGGCTGGGAGTGGTGTGGTCACCGATGCGAAAAAGGTCCGGGGAGGGGTGAGCATTTGCTCAGCCCCCCTCGTTCCGACACTACGCTCTCCAGGAGGGAGTGAGCAGTGGGGCTGCTGCTGACATCGCCTGTCCCGGAGGAGCCATCCGATTCGCGATAAAAGGAAAATTACAAGATGGCGTCGTCCAGCGTGTAGCGACCTGCCACTGAGAAATATTCCTCGGCGCTTACCTTGAAACAAGACTGCTCGTCTGCTTCTCCTCAGACAGGAAAACTCACCGGGGCGGCAGGAGGTTGACGTGGCGGGGCCACAGGCAGCCCCAACAAAGGTTGAGCTGGTCAAGCTAGACAACTTCCCTGCTTCGTTCTTCTGACAGTGCTATTAGCTTGCTGAAAAAAAATGTAAGCCGATTACCCGCTCTTAACGTAATTTTTACGGACCGGGTGGGGCCCACACAACAGGTGGATGTGGACTAAATTTTTTCAGTGCGATGCTTTGCATGACGGGATAAACCCACTAAGCGACAGCTCTTAAAGGATGAAGCCTATACGAAATAGAACGGTTAACACACAAAGCAATATACAAAATGAAGTAAATCAGAAAATAGACATAAAAACAATGCAGATAATAAATACGATGACAAACCTGTGTGAAGCATACAGGTTCAAAACACATATCCTCTGGTGTTGAAACCTACTGAATAGTAGTGGGTTTTTAAATGGGATTTGAAAACCGAGTGGGAGAGGGGCCTGTCTGACAAGCAGAGGTAACTCGTTCCAAAGTCTTGGGCCTGCTACAGAGAAGGCCCTGTCACCTGACACTTGATGTGTCCCTGGGTAAAACACTGAACCCCTCATTACCTCTGATGTGTCCCATCAGTGTATGAATGTGTGTGTAGTAGATAGCTGTATGAATGTGTGTGTAGTAGAGTGCTGTATAAATGTGTGTGTAGTAGAGTGCTGTATGAATGTGTGTGTAGTAGAGTGCTGTA